CCAACAGACATATGAAAAGATGCTCCACATCACTAATCATCACAGAAATGCAAATCAAAACCACAAGGAGATATCACCACACACCAGTTAGGATGGCCACTATTCAAAAGGCAAGAAATAACAAGTATTAGCGAGGATGTGGAAAAAAGGGAACCCTCCTCCACTGTAGGTGGCAATGTAAATTGGTGCAGCCACTGTGGAAAGCAATATGCAGGTTCCTCAAAAAGCAAAAAATCGAAATACCATACAACCCAGTAATCTTACATCTAGGAATAAACCTGAAGAAAATAAAATCCCTGATATGAAAAGATATATGCACTTTTATGTTTATTGCTGCATTATTTACAATAGCCAAGATATGGAAGCAACCTAAGTGTCCATCAGTAGATGAATGAGTAAAGAAAATGTGGTACATATACATAAAGGATATTATTCAGCCATAAGAAGAAAAGAAATCCTGCCATTTGCAACAACATGGATGGACCTAGAGAGTATTATGGTCAGTGAATTAAGCCCAGTGGAGAAAAACAAACACCATATGATTTCACTTATTCATGGAATATAAAAGTAGAACAAAACAAAATGAACAAAATACCAGTAGGCTCAGAGACAGTGAGAAGTGACTGGTGGTTACCACAGGGGAGGGGCTGGAGTGGGCTTGGGGTGGGGGGGTTGAGAGGGATAAATGGGCACAAAAATTCTCAATCATAGTGTAAGTTGGTCACAGGGATGATAATACAGCATGGAGAATACAGCCAATGGTTCTGTAACATCTTTCTATATTGACAAATAGTAACTGCACTAGGAGGGAGAAAGAATTTAATAATATGGGCAAGGATTTAATAATATATTGAACCACTGCGTTATATACTTGTAACCAGTATAAAATTATATATCAACTATACTTCAACAAAAAAAAAGAATAAATCATACAAACATATACATATCAACACATAGGATTTTAGAAGAAGAGGAAAAGAATATTTTAACCAACATTCTGATAAGTTTGACATGTATTTTATTTATATTAGAATACCTATGAAAGTCCTTAAAGTATTTTAATATATTATTTATTTACACCTTTATCATCATATTTATTAAACTAGGGATAACATCTAATATTTATTTTCATTTCTTTAAATTTCATTTCATTTTAAATTTAAATAAGAGTAAACACACAGCTTGAAAATGAACATGTCCTCTTACTGCTTTGGCCAATTTGTAATATTGCTTAATCTGGTATATTCCAGCAAGATCTGATGTATCCCCAACTTTAATACAGCAAAATGAGCCAGTACTGAATTATTGGAGCATTTGCATCTACCCACATTATATTAACCAAACCCTGTGTACATTAACTTGAAAGTTTCAGCTTTTTGACACTTGTTGAGAATAAGAGATTGATTACTATCTAAAAATTTTGGAGAATTTTTTTCTTCACATCTTTAGTGATTAGAAGCATGGGTTTGAAAATCAGACTATTAGAAACAGGTCTCTACCACCTACTAGCTGTGTAACCATTTAAACTCTCTGTGTTTCAGCTTTATACATGAACCTCAGATACACATCTTTGAAAAATGTGAACATTTAATTTATAAAACATAGTACCAAAATATGAATATTAATAAAAATTAACAAAAAAACCTCTAGTATATTTTAAATGGAAATGAGTCCAAATTTTGGCCTCACTGAATATGTGCCAATCATTACGCTTGTCCATGCACTTCAAACCTCTTTAATATTTCTGAATGGGGTGTGTGTATATGTGTGTGTCTCTCTCAATACTTCTACAAAGTGGCCTTTTCTGGAGGTTTTTGGCCTATGAACACTAAAACAGCCATCATATTCTCAGATAAGAGGAAGTGAAAGAACCTCACAAATATATAGGCAGATATTCCTTAGTCTTGTTTTGCAATGAAGTTATAAAATGTCAGGCAGATGGAAAAATATTAGACTGTACTTCTGTTTTCTGTTTCTTTGTCAATTTTATTTATACAGAGGCTACTAATAAATAAAATTCTATAAGCTTGATTTGGCAAGTGACAGATCATCATTGTACATCTGCAACTCCAAGCCTTACATTTTGATTCTGGCTCTTCATTAATTTGCTATTGATCTCAAACAAATCATTCCTTGAGATTGTTTTTCCTCCTGGATGAAAATAAAAGCAATACTTCTGGTCTTACTTAACATACATTATTATTTCAAGGATGTGAAATAAACTACTGGTGAATAGACCACTACTTAAATATAGTGCTTGTAATTATAATTTACAGAGACGGAGAAGCTGAGTTTCTTTTTCTCATTTGGTTATGGAAGCAAGAACAGGGGGTAACTCTATGATGACAGCAGAGGACCTCTCATCTGTGGATCTATTTACTAAAAAGAGAAAAAAAAAAGCATGGGTTTGGAGTTAGACAGATCCATGTTTACCACTATGTGATCTTGATGGGTAAGCATGTAATTCAACCTTTTAAAGTCCAAGGTTAGCCTGAGGGTCAAAGGAGATAATGTATATGAGATCTTAAGAAAACTATCCATTACCATACGTCTACATATATTAGAATTATAATATATTCATTATCAAAAAGAGTAGTTCTAGTGAATGACTCCTTAAAGTCATATACCTTAACAATACCTTAGGTTTAGAACTCTGTACATGAATTACTAAAAATAGACTCTTTAATTTATATGCCTAAGATATGACAAATTCTGTTTATAATTCTATGCATGCCTTTCTTAATTCGTAAAAATAATTAATGTAAATATTGTAGCTATTTGAAATTAAACATTTCTTTTCCTATGGAAAAATTGTAAAAGGCAAAGAACCTCTACTTAAAAGAACAAAAGCAAAAACAGCACAAAAATAAGAATAAAATGTTACATAACATTTTTACCTACATTGATCCAAACTGGAACATGTGAAGTAAATACTTTTAAAAAATTAAGTAATACAGGAGCAGAATATTTGCATCTCTCTTGAAGAAAGATAGCACATATTTAAAATACAGTCCAGAGAAGAGATATGGCTAATAAACATACAGGAATATGACTAATCTTATTCAAAATTAAAGGAACTGTAAATTAAAGATACCATTTATCATTTATCATACTGTAAGAGATTATAAGATCCAGTGCTGCAGAGAATATGAGAAAAGAATGCTCATTTACTATTTCTATGCGTATAAACACACAGAACTTTGGCAGAGAGAAATTTGGCAATATTGCCAAAATTAAAAATGTATAAATCCTCTGATCTAACAATTCTAAATCTAGAAATTTACACAAATGTGCACACATAGTTTTATTGTGATAATATTTATACTAGTGAAAAACTAGTGGAAAAAACTAAATATCCATTAGTCAGATGCTGATTAAATAAATTATAATTCATTCATATATGGAATTTTATGCAATTATTTGAAGAATAAGGTAGAGAAGGCATAAAGTTAGTAACATCAAAAGGTGACTATGATATATCAAGTTAAGGAAATTAAATGTACGACATGAGTCCATTTAACATAAAAACCACCTCATGAGTTTTTAAAAAAATTCTACCCTTAAAAATATGAATAATTAATATTTTATTAGCACAGAGAGTTCACTTCATTAACATAGTATTACTCACTTTAAAAAGTTCCAACCTTTTTACCAGAATTTATCTGAAGATATATGTGGAATTTCATACAAAGTTATCATTAAAGTATTTTTTTATAATTTTATAACAATGACAAAACCTTCTAAATGCTCAAAAATAAGGGAAAAAGGGAGTATTTAAATTAAGTATGAGACATACATAGTAGAATACTGTGAGGACACTAAAATTATGTTTCCNGTAAAAATAATTAATGTAAATATTGTAGCTATTTGAAATTAAACATTTCTTTTCCTATGGAAAAATTGTAAAAGGCAAAGAACCTCTACTTAAAAGAACAAAAGCAAAAACAGCACAAAAATAAGAATAAAATGTTACATAACATTTTTACCTACATTGATCCAAACTGGAACATATGAAGTAAATACTTTTAAAAAATTAAGTAATACAGGAGCAGAATATTTGCATCTCTCTTGAAGAAAGATAGCACATATTTAAAATACAGTCCAGAGAAGAGATATGGCTAATAAACATACAGGAATATGACTAATCTTATTCAAAATTAAAGGAACTGTAAATTAAAGATACCATTTATCATTTATCATACTGTAAGAGATTATAAGATCCAGTGCTGCAGAGAATATGAGAAAAGAATGCTCATTTACTATTTCTATGCGTATAAACACACAGAACTTTGGCAGAGAGAAATTTGGCAATATTGCCAAAATTAAAAATGTATAAATCCTCTGATCTAACAATTCTAAATCTAGAAATTTACACAAATGTGCACACATAGTTTTATTGTGATAATATTTATACTAGTGAAAAACTAGTGGAAAAAACTAAATATCCATTAGTCAGATGCTGATTAAATAAATTATAATTCATTCATATATGGAATTTTATGCAATTATTTGAAGAATAAGGTAGAGAAGGCATAAAGTTAGTAACATCAAAAGGTGACTATGATATATCAAGTTAAGGAAATTAAATGTACGACATGAGTCCATTTAACATAAAAACCACCTCATGAGTTTTTAAAAAAATTCTACCCTTAAAAATATGAATAATTAATATTTTATTAGCACAGAGAGTTCACTTCATTAACATAGTATTACTCACTTTAAAAAGTTCCAACCTTTTTACCAGAATTTATCTGAAGATATATGTGGAATTTCATACAAAGTTATCATTAAAGTATTTTTTTATAATTTTATAACAATGACAAAACCTTCTAAATGCTCAAAAATAAGGGAAAAAGGGAGTATTTAAATTAAGTATGAGACATACATAGTAGAATACTGTGAGGACACTAAAATTATGTTTCCGAAGATATTTAATGCCAAGAAATGCTCAAGATATGATGTTAAATAAAAATGTTATGGGAAAGATACAGATAATAAACTAGGGTAAACAAGTGAACTCCAATTTTATATGACACTAAAAAAAGCATTTTACCAGTGGTTATTTCTGGGTATTAAATTATGGATGGTCTGTTTATTCTTTGTACATTTTTTGTATTTCCCAGGCTTTCTAAAGTGCACACATATTGATTTCATAGCAAAAAAAGTTTACTTTAAAAATTGGCATTCATTATAATATAGAAAACCAATTCTGAGTCAGCTGAATGTCAATAAATCTTTGCAGAGAAAAATATCACAGACAGAATATGTATTTCTAAATTCAAATTTTAGGCCTTATATTTACCCTTAAAATATAGTATCATATAAATGATTAGAGACTATTCATATCGAACGGCTTTCTGATATTATAGAAATACAAAGTCAATGTTTTTTTTCCCAAGAGAATTCACATTCATTCATTCAATAGATATTTATTGTATTTCTACTCTGTGCCACCAGGTTCTTATTTGAGAATGAGTCAGACAAAATTTTGGTTTCATCAGAGCTAATGTTCCAGTAGGAGAAATAAGTCAATAAAAACACAAGTAGATATAAAATATAAAGTTAGTGACAAAACCTATGAAAAAACAAACTAGGGTAAGAAGATGGAGAGTGATGGGGGCAGACATTTTTAAGTTAGGGTATCAAGAAAATTCTTTCTGAAAATGTAGTATCTGAGTAGTAACTGGACTGAAGTGAGAGAGTGAGCTATGTGAACATGTCAGCTTTCCTGGCCCAAAGGAGAGCAAATGTAAAGACTGTGAGACAGAACTATGCTTGGCATGTTCAAAGAGTAGTCATGAGGCTAGGATCGTTGGAGAACAGAGAGCAAAGAGAAGAATATATAATGAGTCTGGAGGCTACTGGTAGCTGGACCTTGTAGGGCCTTATGGGCCATGACAAGGCCTTGGGATTTTATTCTAAGTGTTCTGGACAGTTAAGTAATCACCTTATTTCACCATAAAATGTATATATAATACTAAATTCTGTTGGAAATGAAAAGAAAATGTGCTGACTTTCAGTTATAATGCTTATTTTTAAAAAATACTGATAAGCATGCCATGAAATAATTATTGTGTTTAGAAATGAATCAGCTGAATTATATTATTAATGCTATATCTACTTATTCTCTCTGTTATGCACCTCTGCCCTAACAAGCTAAGTATTAAATGACACAATTAGCAGTTTAATTGGAAACCTATTGTCCAATTCAGACTTCTGTAAGATAACGTTGCAAAGTGACTCCACTGAATTTCACGTTGCTAAGTTACCAGGAATTCAACCTCTTTTAAAATCAGAGTTATAAACATGAATTATTTTATAATAGATGAGAAATACCTTTGTGTTTATCTTTTTAATTCATGGTGTGGAAACTGAAACATATACCCTAAGACATGATACACAATCCATCTTTTTGTGTATTTGGAGATATATCACATCCTTCCTAGGAAGAAAGATGAGAACACCATAACAGTGACTCCCTTGCAAAGTATCTTTTTTAGTAATGTTTACAATTGATTCCAAAAGAGTATTACTTTTTGGAAGACTTAAATACTGCCCAGTTGTTGGCAAACCAGGTCCCCTTGTGCCCTCTTTTAAGTCACTGTATCATAGCTATAAATCTGTTTCTTTAAATATGGGATATTTGGATGACCCTCAGGGTGGCCCTGAGGAATGCCTCTTCTGTTATCCACAAAACACACAAGCTGAGAAGTGGCCCATATAACTTTTCCATTTCTGCCTAAGAAAGGCAGTGATATTTTTTTCCATTTCCCAGGGAGCCAACAGTAGTCAGGTTAGGCAAGGAGAGACCCCCACTCAGAGCAGAGGGTGTTTGTGGCAATATATCAACTGCTGCTATCACGATTTTCTGTCAGTTCATTCCTATATTTGTATGCATGTAAATATACACACAGAATTTTAAAAATTATGAGATTAACTGATTTCAGAACATGAGGGGTCTGTGTATATGACTGCCAAGTTCTTGTTACAATGCCAAAAACATGTAAAAAAAATTCTGTCATTCTGTTTCAGTGATAGTTTGTGAATGCAGTTTTTATTACTCAATATGTTCTTATGCCTCAGTAAAAACAGTTCAGATTTTAAAGGCTCTTAGGTTTCTAAGCCATTGACACTGCCTACCAGTAGGAGGTATACGTCTGTCTGAATATGCCTTTCCTTCTGTGGCCCTGAACTGTATGCCTTCAACTCTTTTTGAAATGAAAATAATAACCATAATAGTGTCTAATAATAACAAGCCAATTATCCCCAACTCAAGGAGGACAGAGGGCAGGCAAATGATGATCTACTAGGCTTGTATGTCTGCAGAGAAAAGAAATGCAAGTAAGTAATTTTCTCTCCTTTCAAGATACCTGCAAAAGATCTCTGTGGAAATGAAGACTCCAGGGGCGTATTGCTAAAATGACATCAACTAAATATAGGGAAAAAAGCCACAGGAATGAGGAAGGGCAATTCTGACATAACAATGTAAAAAAGCAGTTAAGAAGAGAAAAAAGAAAACCACCACCTTGCTTTTTCTGACATAGAGGATGCACTCTGCTTTTGGTCATATAGATTTTGGAACAACTAGCTATATAACTTGTGCTTCATTCATGAAGCACAAATGCAATCTATACGACTTTCTGGGAAAAAAATGGATGAGCAAAATATCCACTGGCAAACCTATGGGAAAATATCTGAATTCTTCTGTTACTAGTACTATTGCTGCATTACTTTGAGAACACTGTGACAGCACTGTCTAAGTCTTCCCCGTGAAGCCAGGAAAAACTTACATTTCTCAAATGCTTTACTGAAACATGCCAGTGTGTCATGAAGTCAGGCAGCACCTTAATAAGGTGTTTCTCAAATTACATGGGCTAAAGGTGTTAAGTATATGACATACTGAACTGTGAAATTATTCCACTGTTTAAACAAAACAACAATATAAGACTGGCAGGCTTTCTTTCACTGTATTTTATGCTGGCCTGGATACTAGAAAATGAATATTTGGATATAAGGTTAATTTAACTCTTAATTAAATATATATAGTGTATTTATAACTCTACTTCAATTTAAGAAATTAAGAAGTTTCTTTAAGAAATTAGGTTTGGAAATCAGGATTTCCTTAAGAAATTAGATTAAGAAAAAAGAATTGGGCCAAATCAGTTGAGAAAGAAAGAAATGACTTAAAATAAAATCCAAAGTAACTACCATCTTAATTAAAAGATCTCTGGTACCATTTTTATAAAGGTGGTCAAAACAGAATGGGAACCCTACACTTCGGGCCTCTGAGGTCGTAAGAACTGCTAGTTCCTAAATTGTTATTTATTTGTATACCATCCCTGGACTCACCACTGGTGTCCAGATGATGACCACAGTGTACCCACAGCACAGTCGGTGGTATATCCTGTGGTTACTACTTTGTGGTATGTGCATGGCTGTACAGGATCTAAATTAGGGACTGCCTAAATCTCAAAGGAGACATGGCTTTTAGGCCTGAGTCTGTGCAACCACCTCTATCTAAAAAAAAAAAAAAAAGAACTCCCACCACAAGAACAAATGCCAGGGCCAAAAATAGAACTTACCTTAAGAAATGGAATTCTGTCAATTCTATCCTACATATATTGGTATCCATGCTTAATTATACATGCTTGATTACATACACTGTGTTTTTGGCCCTTGGAACAGACCTATGGTCAAGAACTCATCCCAACATTTGCATCATATATCATATACTAATCTGAAAGCCTTTCTCTTCTAGGATTCTATGTTGATAAACAAATAGGTTTCTATCCATGTTATATTAGTCCGAAAGTGATTCTTATTGTATTATCTACTAGATTATTGGTTCTTAAATTGCCTATGCATAGAATCATAGGGAGTGAGCTTTTTGAAATCCTACATATATTGGTATCCATGCTTAATTATACATGCTTGATTACATACACTGTGTTTTTGGCCCTTGGAACAGACCTATGGTCAAGAACTCATCCCAACATTTGCATCATATATCATATACTAATCTGAAAGCCTTTCTCTTCTAGGATTCTATGTTGATAAACAAATAGGTTTCTATCCATGTTATATTAGTCCGAAAGTGATTCTTATTGTATTATCTACTAGATTATTGGTTCTTAAATTGCCTATGCATAGAATCATAGGGAGTGAGCTTTTTGAAGAAAAAAATTTCTGAATACCCCCATTCCTAATTAGTATGCCCTAACCACCAAGATTTTGATGTAGTAGGTTTGGGGAGGTACCTAGAATTTCTCTTAACACTAATTCTGAGGTGCAGCTTGTTTGAAAACCATTGTAGTTGACAAAATTAAAAAATTAACTAGATGGTTCTGAGCATGCATCAGAATCACAGGGTGACTTTTTAAACAGCACAGATTGCTGGCCCTCAGCTCTGCAGTTTCTGATTCAGGAAAATTTGGGGAAGGGGCCTCAGAATATCCTTTTCTAATGTTTCTAAATGATAGTGATGCTACTGGTCTAGGGACCACAGTTTGAGAATCACTGAACTAGAGAATAAAGAGAAGACTGGTGTTATGTCTTCAGGGAAGAAGCCTATGTAATACATGTTTGCAAGAGGAAAGATCTGGCCCTTTACTGACTGTTGCTGAGCACACTGTCTAGAATGGAATCTTACATGTTCCCATCTGAGAACTCTAGGGATTTCCACAAAAGGCTTTCTTTTCCTAGCAGAAACTTCCATAAACTTCTGGGTACAATTCCATGAGGTTGTGATTATTGAGCTGGGTTGAAGGTAATTACAACAGGAGAGTTTCTGAAAACTGAAATATTCACTTATTTCTTCTCCTTTGTCCAAGAAGCATGTATGTGCACATGTGCACATGCACACACACATACACATATTTGCAGACTATGGAAAATAAAGCTTAGGAAAAATTGAAATGATACCTGTAGAAAGACCATTTTAGCAGAAATTGCCTGGCAGCTTTAGGAAAACTGGGTCTTCCTTCATAGGGTTTCAGTGCTTGCATCATCACATTGTCAAGCCACGCAGCCCACTGCTCCAGGGTGCTCTGCTGCTGAAGAGTCATCTTGAAGTCTGTTTCTAGTCTCTGAACCATGTTGTCATCACACTGGCACACCCAGGAGGCCTGCTCCTGGGACAGTACATAGAAAGCAAAGGAAAAGTTCAACTCAGCATCTTTTTACTGAATGTCAGCACACAAGCCATATGCATGAATGGGACATTATAATAAAATCTTCAAACAATTAAATGACTTAAGAAAATGAATGACTACCTGACAGTTGTTAAGAAAATTAACATCACCTTTGTGCATGAAAAAATGATGTGGTATAAAAGCATGCATTGATTTTCCACATTAGTTAGTTTGTGCAAAAGACTAAAATACCTGATTACTTAGGAAAAATAGAAATCTGAAACTACAGTATGCAGGGGCTTTCCATTCTGTTCAGTGTTTACATTGCTTTCAAAAGTTTTTTCTCTCTTTTTCTCCCTCCAGTCAGATAAAACTTTAAAGCCAATTCATTTGAGAAGATTTAAGTCAGATGGATAAATAGATTCACTAGGCCAGAAGTGGTCCCTCAGGACTGAAACAGAAAGCACACTGAATGGCACTAGGCAGAAGCATATGTGGTATAAGTTTTATGGATTAGGAACTGTAATCTCAAGGGCTACCAAGGCAAGGGTATGCATGCAAATTAATTCATAGAACTGAAAACAACAGTGACAACAAAAACACTTTTGAGAAGATGTAGTACCAGCAAACTGTCAGGGAATTTGATTACTACAGTTTTCCTCATTCTGATTGGGAAGTTTCATGTTTCATCATAGCAATGACAACAGGGACTTTTAAAGTTACTTTTCAATGATTGCTGTAAGTCTTCTGTTTCCAGTGCTGTTTTACCATTTAAAAAAAGAAACTATACTCTCAAAGTCAAAATATAATTACTTGGCAATATAACATTTGACTGGGAGTCAGAGGACATAGATTTTTAATATAGAGACTGAACCAACTAACTGACCTCGAGCAATACATTTAGTCTTATGTGAGGCTCATTTTTCCTAAGCATAAAATTAGAGAAATGAAATGTGAATTTTTAAGAATTTTTAAGTTGGATTCATTGCATACAGATGGTATTTTCAGGTTAGGCTTCTGTGGAGGTATGTCTGTGAAGGTCCTGATTCTATATCTAAAACATTGCGAATATGTGTGTGTTTTTCTGAAAAGGGTGTCATTAGCTTTCATTTTACATGCTCTCAGGGGACAAGTTCATTCAAATAGATAATTTCAACTGACTAAATCCCTAATCTCCATCCTCTAGTTCTAGCATCTCTCCTGATCCTACAGACTTTACCTACTCAAGAGACATTTCAACTGTGAGGCACTTCAAATACAAAATGCCCAAACTGAGTTCTTTTATCCTCCCAGGGAAACCCAGTTTCTTCTGTATTCTCAGCTGATGGATACCATCTACTGTCCTTTCTCTTATTTAATTAGTTATAAAGTCTTTCAGATTTTACTTCCTAAATATCACTTTTAAATATTTTAAGTACACTAAAATATGAATATAGAAAAAACTGAAAATACAAGTAAACAAAAACAAAATATTAATATCTATAATGCCAACACTAAGAGCCCTAACTACAGCATGAAGATGTATATACCTTTCAGACTTTTCACATGCAACATATGTTCATGAATATATAAATATTTAGAATAAAAGAGGATCATATAATATACCTTACAAAATATATTGGTTTTACTTAACTATATATAACTGAATTTCCATGTAGGCAAACATAGAGCTGTATTTATTGTTCAATGATTGAATTTGCTTCAATATATACATACAACATTATTTGGATAACTAATTGCATATAATCATTTATATCCATTTCAATTTTACTATTAGGAATAATGTTGGAATTAGCAATCTTGTACAGTATCTTTGATTATTTTTGCACTTAATCCTATACAATAAATGTATATAAGAATAGTTAAGATCTTTCAATATAGACTGTCAAATGACCCCCAAATTTTGTATCAGTTTAAGAGTTCAAGAGAATGCCCAGGGAAAAATTTAGGGATCAAGGAAAGGATAAAAAACGTTTGTATTTTCATTAATGTCCAGGCATTTTTTAAATTGTGGTAAAACACACATAAAATAAAATTTATCATCTAAGCATTTTTAAGTGTACAGTATAGGAGTGTTAACTCTCTCCTCCTTATTGTGCAATAGACCTCTAGAACATTTTCTTCCTGCAAAACTGAAACTCCATACCCATTGTAGGGGGAGGTTCTTTTTTGTTTGTTCATGCATTGATAACAGGAAGAAGGAACATTTTGGTATCCTGGCAAGAATTTAATTTCATCTTACTATAAATGCAAACTCACTGTTTACTTGGAAGTTAGTTTTGCTTAGAGAATGATTGGAAACCAAAATCTAACTTAGAAAGATAAAACCACAGGGCATTATTTTGGCTTTAAAAATAACTTTATATTATATTTCATTTTACTACTCTGACGACTGAAAATATAGTAACAGTAAAGTACCCTGTAAATATTCCTTCTGAAAGGAATTTGGATATCTGAAGCCTATAAATGGAAAAAGCTAAGGATGAATATTAAAGATATTCTTCATTTACAAATAAGTTTTATACAAAATTATAATGAGTTGATCGATTCAAAATCAGAGTGTCTTTTAAATAGAGAAACACAGGTTAATGCAATGGTTAGGTTATCAAGTCAACCCACCCAAACCCATCTGGCCATAATGTAGATGAAAAACTATCTATTTACCTAAAAAAATGAGAAAACAATTTCACTGTACTGCTTTCAATTAAAACAAACCAATAATACTGTAATAGAATACATGAGGAAAAGATTTAAATAGAGAAGAATGAAGTGATGAAAGAGATTTATGGATATCCTAAAAGAAACTTTTTAGTACTTTCAAGCTCTTAAGAGTATTATAATATTGACACTTAGGTGTAATTTCATTGTTTTAAATCAAAGTGTCCTTATTACAAGAGCATCACCCTTATTATATGTATCAGCCTTGCTGTGAATGAGGGTAAAATCTTGGAGGGGCAGTGACGACTTCCAAATGATTAGAAGAGGGCAATAAAGGTGGACCTGGGAGGCAGAAGACTGAGAAAACCAGAGTAATCTAAGGAAACCATGCAAAGCTTCCAACACAAAAGGAAAGAAATTAAAGAAGGAATATGTCACCTAAGAAAGAAATTGCTATTAAAATGCACAGAGTTGTGAGAGGAAAATGTGGGGGGAAATGAAGTGTGCACCGCTGTGTTCATAGCTCTCTTAGGAAAAGAAGCAGTGTTGGAGAACAGATTTTCAATCATACAGGTTTTAGCACTGATAATTGTTACATGGACCCAGGAAAACTTGTTAGTTGAGAACAAAGGGAAAAGGTAGTATCTGAGTTGGTGGGTGGAGGATGAGTAGGAGAACAGATATATAATTGACCACTTATATCCAAAGATGTTCTTGACTTTGGTGTTTATAACCTAGAAGAACTAATTTGCATAAATAATAATACAGTTGCAGATACACAAATACAGAGAAAAAAATCAAAAACCTTTCTGAGACATTCTTAGGAGTCAATCTTAAGTACATTTTCTGTTACTGAACTTAAATTACTTTTTGAAACTAGAAGTTGCCTTACTACAACTTTTCTTAAGGTATTTTTAAACATATCTTCTCTGAATGAAGATTAGAAATAAACATCACAGCATGAATTTTATGGCAATATGAGCTTCTAATGTTCTCAATAAAATTAGCTGATATAAATTTCATTGAATTATGTAAAATTAATGGCTTTGTAAAGCTGAAAGTTTGTTCTTGTAAATGTTATACATTTGCATGTGTGTATGTATATGTATGTGTGTTTGAATACAGATGCATAGATAGATTTTTTAAAACTTTCTATTCATCAGAAATTTGAACCCAATTCATGAGTTAGAATGAACTTAACTAATTTGCTATACTCCAAAATGAATCAAGCCCAAAGATTCCTTTATGACTTCTCTTAAATGATAGAACTAAACCAGAACTGCAGATTAAAATTTATAGGAAATGGAGTTTCCTAAATATATAAATAAGTAGTTTATTTTTAAGCAGTGGTATTGTTTTTTAACAGTTTTATTGAGATATAATTTATATATCATATAATTCACTCATTCATTACAGTTCAATGGCTTCTTTTAGTATATTCAAAGTTGTACATCTATCATCACAATTTTAGAATGTTTTTATTTCCACAAAAAGAAACCCCACATCCCTTATCTGTCACTTTCTAATACCTCAGTCCCCATGATGCAGACATCCACTAATCTACTTTCTGTCTCTACAGATTTATGTATTCTCACATTTCATATAGATGGAATCACAGTATTTGGCCCTCTGTGTCTGGCTTCTTTCACTCAGCATAATATTTCAAGGTTCATCCATGTTCTAGCATGCATCAGAATTGCATTTCTTTTTATTGCCCAATATTGCATTGTGTGGATATATAGCATTTTGCTTATAAATCAGTAATCAGTTAATGGACATTTGGGTTGTTTCTACTTTTAGGTAGCTAATAGGAATAATGCTGCCAGGAACATCATGTACAGGTTTTTATGTGGACATGTTTTCATTTCTCTTGGTATACCCAGATATGAAACTGCTGCATCATATGATTAAGTGTACGTTTACTGTTTTGATATGGTAACAACTAGCTTCATTACTATAGTATTCAAAATAAAGCATTTGTTAGGATTCCACAATATTCCAAAATTAGCTTTTTTCAAAGTGTACTTTACCGTACAAGTGAGTAGTTTGATTGCAAGATTAAAATACATTTTTTTCACTTAGACAATCAAAATAGACAACAATATTATACCTAATTCTTTACAAATGAACAAATATAGAGTAAGCACCTATAGCAAAGTCTGAAATAAAATTGTTTTTAGTTCCTTTAAGGTGGGTGTCACTATTAAAAACAAATGTCTAATGGGGATAACAGGAAGATGGCAGTGTGAGTAGTTCAGTGGAAATCTCCTCCCAAAAATATACATATTTATGAAAATACAATAAATACAACTATTCCTAATAGAGACACCAGTGGATACAGT